AAAATGATATCAGACCGACACATCAACAGTAGGCCTACGGTAAAATGATATCAGACCGACACATCAACAGTAGGCCTACGGTAAAATGATATCAGACCGACACATCAACAGTAGGCCTACGGTAAAAGGATATCAGACCGACACATCAACAGTAGGCCTACGCTAAAATGATAACAGACCGACACATCAACAGTAGGCCTACGGTAAAATGATATCGGACCGACACATCAATAGTAGGCCTACGGTAAAAGGATATCAGACCGACACATCAACAGTAGGCCTACGCTAAAATGATAACAGACCGACACATCAACAGTAGGCCTACGCTAAAATGATATCAGATCGACACAACAATAGGCCTACTGTAAAATGATAACAGACCGACACATCAACAGTAGGCTTACGGTAAAATGATATCAGACCTCAGACCGACACATCAACAATAGGCCTACGGTAAAATGGTAATAAACCGACACATCAACAGTAGGCCTACGGTAAAATGATATCAGACCGACACATCAATAGTAGGCCTACGGTAAAATGATATTAGACCGACACATCAAAAGTAGGCCTACGGTAAAATGATAACAGACCGACACATCAACTGTAGGCCTAAGGTAAAAGGATATCAGACAGACACATAACAATAGGTCTACTGAAAAATGATAACAGACCGACACATCAACAGTAGGCCTACGGTAAAATGATATCAGACCTCAGACCGACACATCAATAATAGACCAACGGTAAAATGATATCAGACCGACACATCAACACGGTAAAATGATATCAGACCGACACATCAACAATAGGCCTTTTGTAAAAATGGCATTAAACAGACACATCAACAGTAGACCCACGGTAAAATGATACGTAACTGACGATCCACCTGTATAAAATGACGACCTTCCTGTATAAAATGACGATCCACCTGTATAAAATGACGACCCACCTGTATAAAATGACGACCCACCTGTATAAAATGACGACCCACCTGTATAAAATGACGACCCACCTGTATAAAATGACGACCCACCTGTATAAAATGACGACCCACCTGTATAAAATGACGACC